AAGAGACAGCGCGAGACTCGGCGTCCGACTCAAGGCGTCTCCAAAGAGGACATCGAGTTGGCGCTCAAGACCACGCCCTCAGGTATGACGACGCGTGTCGTCTCTGCCGTCTCACACGTCGTCTCTCTCTCTCAGTGCTCGCCGACGACGACTGCACGACAACCGCGACGACGGACGACAACATTGAGACGACAACTCCGCCACCAATGCCTTCATCGCCGCCGCCCAGCGCGCCCTCACCGCCCTCCGAGAGCGCCGCCACCCCAGAAGTGCCGAACGGCGGACAGCCGACAGCCCCTCACGCGGCGCGACGCCGTCCGAAGCGGCGGTCGACGGGAATCGAGGAGAACCTGGAGCTGAACGACTTGCGAGGCGAGCCTTTGGCGCCATCTCTCGGCGTCGACAACGACTGTACCGACAGTTCTGTAAGTTTTGCCAAAACTTTGCTATTAATAGAAGCGAAGAGAGAGACGACGCCCTAAACGCCAAAACATGTCTTCTTTTGGGTCGTGGAGAACGTCTCTCAACCCGCGGTCGCAGTCGAGCGCGCGGCCCGCCATTGGGCTCCAGTCGTCGTCTCTCTCGCGCTCCTTAACGCAGTTGCCGTTCGGCTCGTCGTCCGCCTCGCAGTTGCCGTTCATCACGACTGCGCCGTCGTATCAGACGTCGGCGGCGACACACAGACGACAACCGCATCTCAATCGACGCACAACACAGCCGTCGACGGCGACGCAGAGCCGACTGCGGGCGTCGTCCTCGCAGTCGAACCTGTCGTCGCTGTCGTCGTCCTCTCCTCTGAACTCTAGTTTTGTTTTTGTAAAACCCTTTATCCAAGTATTGGTCGAAAAGTATATCACAAGAAATGACTTTTGCTTTTGACAGACGACGACACCGACGACCACACCGACGACGCGGTCGCGTTCGTCGTCGCGAAGCTCTCTCCAGACGACGACCGACGACAGCGAGTGCGAGACGACGACGCGGACAACTGCAGCGACGCCTGTCGACGACAAGGACTACAAGAAGCTGTACAAAGAGCTGCTGAAAGAGAACGAGTTTCTGCTGAAGAAGATGAAGGACTTCGAGGGTTCGCGTCTTAAGGAGAGGGAAGCGCAGGACTTTCAGCGCGAGAAGCGACAGCTGTTGCGGAGAATCGGAGAAGTAATGGAAAATCGCTTTATTTACAAAAACAGTCAATAATTTAAAATAAATTACAGTTAGAAGAAGAGTTGCGAACCAAAGAAGAGTTGCTGAAAGAGAACGCGCGCCTCAAAGACGAGAACTCGGCTCTGATTCGCGTCATCTCTAAGCTGTCGAAGTGAAGACCACTTCCGGCGGAAGTCGTCGTCTAGTCGTCTGTTATTTATTATTATTTATTATTCGAAATGTGTTTCAAATAAGTTTCGATCTGTTGTTGAAATCTCATTAAATGATTGGTCACTCATTCATGTCATGTGATTCTTACGTCATTCAAATGGATTTCCGTGAGAAACGAGAGTCCGAAGAGCGCCACGAAACCCACGAAATGCACGCTTTGCACGAAACTCGGAGCGCGCGACAGCCAAACGGCGATCAGGAAGAACGTCATGAGTTGGTGCGCGTTTCCATAGCAACGCCATAACCACATGACCAGAAACTGGAGGCGGGACTTAAGGATCTGGACGGTTGTGGGCGTGGCCTGCGTCTCGAGCAGTCCGTGAAAGGCGTCGATATAGCGGTTCCAGAGGACGCACGCGATCGCCATCTGGAGGCCGAAGAGCGCGAAGTTCCGCAGAAGGAGTCGTCGCGCGCGCGAATCCGCCTCCGAGTCGGCGGAAAGCGCTTTGTAGGCGGAGGAGCGCGAGGAGCGCAGCGATTGGACGAAAACGGCGGCCACGAAGAGCGTGAAGCCAATGGCGTCGCAAATGCCGTCCACAGCGTAACCGCGCGTTCCCTTCACCGAAACGTCGACATCGCGCGCGAGTCCACTGAAAACCAGAATTTTTATAGAGTTTTCAAAACAAAACAAGAGTTCAATAATACGTGGAAATGCGGGCCACGAGACCGTCCAAGTCGTCGAGGAATTGTCGCACGAGAAAGAGGGCGACAGCGAGACGACGCACTGCCAGAGTGTCGCTGAGGACGACGCGCGCGGCGACACCCGCGACGACGACACCGGCGTACGACACGTGATTGGCCGTCAGTCGCGGGAATCGTGACGTCAGTTTCAAACTCTCCTCAAACGCGTGACTCAGAGGACTCATGACGTAACAGTTCACGTGATCCAACATCACCGTTTTGACGGAGATCTGAGGGAAAGGCAGCGAAGTCTGCGGCGAAGAGGGAGTGGTTTAAGAGGCGGACAGCCAAAGAGATTAAGTGGCGGTCAGCCAATGAGAGACTCACGTTTCGGTTGAAAGTAATGGACTGAATGGTGCGAAAGAGGGCGAGATCTTTGACCAAAAAGAGCGAAAACGCGAATAAAAGGACGGAAATTGAGATCTTTTGGCGAAACATTGTTTTGACGCGAGATCTGACACCAGTTGTTGTGACTGTTGAGCGCACGCGCGGAGTCTCTGACGTCTCTCAAAGTTGTGTTGAATTGTTGTCTCGTTTGGCATTTCATTGCTTTTCATTCACTTCTCGTTTGACTTTAAGAGCTAAACATCTGTTGAACGCGAAAACAATGATAGAGTCGGCGCTCACCGACTCTTCGCCCGACGTTTGGGACGACGCGCACGACGACTGCGACGACACGACGCCGTCAGCCGTCGCCGACGAAGACGTGAGAACGCGCGCACTCTTTGGCCACTTTATGACANGATAGAGTCGGCGCTCACCGACTCTTCGCCCGACGTTTGGGACGACGCGCACGACGACTGCGACGACACGACGCCGTCAGCCGTCGCCGACGAAGACGTGAGAACGCGCGCACTCTTTGGCCACTTTATGACACTTGTCTCTCCCGACAGGCCGTCGACGCGAACGCCTTCTTCAACTGGAACTCGAGTTCCAGAACTCATTATTCGGTGATTATTCTGAACGACTCGCTCTTATCGGAAACCCTTCTGTCGGACGACGACGAGGACGACGTCCGACACGACGACCGCCACTTCCGGCTCCAGAAGGCGTCCCTCAAGAGACGGCACGACCTCTTCGTGGCGGCCGACGACTCGGACGACGACTCGACGACAGCTCTGCCGACACCGACGACGACGACCACGAAATGGCGGTCTCCGGCGCGACGGCCGCCGCGGACGACGGGGTCGTCATTGTCGTCGTCGTTGCCGTCGAAGAGTTCATCGGTCGGCCATTCACTGAGCGTTGAGGCGATACTTCGTTCTGATTCAGGTATTGAATGCTTTAAAAACCGGTTTTCTTGCGAAACATTCCAAACATTCATTGACCTCAACGTTGACCTCAAATGACCCAAAACTCTGCTCTCTTTCAGCCGACAAAGACATTGACCTTCAAGTC